CGCTACCCATTGTGTGAGAGATTAGCGCACAGTCAGATCATGGGTTTCCGTGTCAGCAGCTCCCTATAAGTTATTTAATCAGGGCTTCGGCGGCATATGGAGAAATACCTGGCTTGGATCCGGCGCCGCTCTCCACCAATGGGCAATGGGGGGTGGGGTCGTGTGGGGACTGGGACCAGTGGGACGGCAGGACTTTTTTTTTTTTTTAAATATATTTATTTAGATTTTTCTATTTCTATTTTTATTACCCAAATAAATTTGTAGTTGTCAACCTGATTACTGTTTTCTGCAGAATATATATATATATAATTTTTATATATATATTATTTACCCTTTTTTTCCGGGGGGATTTTGCAAGAAATAAGTATGTGAACCCCCTTGCGATTACGTGGAGTTTTGCATGGAATTGGGCATAAAATATGCTCCACTGAACGTATCTAAATGGAATAACAATAGATGAATTTTGCCCTTATGCTGAACATAATACTAATACAAACTATATATTATGTTGCCATTGGTTTAATTGAATCACAAACATTGTAAATTATTCATATTTATGCAGTTTAGGGAAAAAGTATTTGAGGCCCTAGCTATAATTGACTTTATACCAGAGCTAATTGGCGCCAGGAGTGAGCAACCTTGATAATCCAATCAGTGTGATGATAAATTGGTAATGTGTTTTTTAAAAGCTGTTCCTGCCCTTTAAAAAACACTCCAAATGTTGTTGGGTTTTTACTGGTTTCAAGAAGCCATGTCCTTGATGTACAAACATGCCTCGCAAAAAGGAGCTCTAAGAAATAAAACTAAAATTTTATTTAATTTTTTGGATTGCATGAAGCTGGGAAAGGGTTAAATAGTATCACTCCAAAAGCCTTGAATTGTTCATGTTTCACGTTAAGACAGACTGTCTTACAAATGGAGCAAATAGTTTAGGCTCTGTTTTACTCTCACTAACACAGCATGGTCGTCTTGTAAAAAATTGAAAAAAAAAAAAAAAATAGAATGCTAAACATGGGTAAATGAAGAATCCTGAAGTGTCAGCTAATAGACCTAAAAACAATTTGGCACTTAGTCTAACATTTTTGTGGAAATTCTATAAGAAAACATTTGAAAAAGAATGGTTGCTAAATGGGGAGGACACCACGGAGGAAAGCCATAATGCTGTCAAAAGAATGCATTTGGGGTGCTTTGCTGCCTCAGGGCCTGGACGGATTGTTGTCATTGATGGGAAAAGTGAATTCCAGAGGTTATCAAGACATTTTGCAGGAAAAAAGTACGACCATCTGTCCGCCAACTGAAGCTCCGCAGAGGATGGGGGATGCAACAGGACAATGACCCAAAGCATACAAGTAAATCAACAAAACAATGGCTGCAACAGCACAGAATACGCTTTCTAGAGTGGCCCAGTCAGAGTCCTGACCTCAACCCAATTGAAATGCTGTGGCATGACCTTAAGAGAGAGCGATTCACACCAGACATCCCAAGAATATTGCTACACTGAAACAGTTTTGTGAAGAGGAGTGGTCCAAAATTACTCCAGATCGTTGTGCAGGTCTGATCTGCAACTACAGGAAACGTTTGGTTGAGGTTATTGCTGCCAAAGGAGGGTCAACCAGTTATTAAGTCCAAAGGTTCACATACTTTTTCCTCCCTGCACTGTGAATGTTTACATGTTATGTGCAATTAAACCATGGCAACAGCTAATGTTTGTGTAGTATTATGTTCAGCAGACTGTGTTCTTCTATTGTTGTGACTTAGATGACGTTCAGAGCACATTTTATGCCCAATTTATGCAAAACTCCACATAATCCCAAGGGGTTCACATACTTTTTCTTGCAACTGTATATATATATATATATATATATATATATAAATAAATAATTTTTAAAATTAATTTATATAACTTTTATTTTATTTCTTTTTATTTGTAATTTTGTATTTTTTTTGTACTTAATCTTGTTTATTATCGATTGTTATCTGCAGATTATTTTATGTATTAAATTATTTTTTTGATTTTCTTTATTTTTATAAGATATATTTATTTTTATTTATATTTGCATTTATTTAGCTATTTTTATTATTTTCTATTTATATTTGCAGTTATTTTTGTAAATATTTACTATTTTTGTTGGTAATTTTATCCAATTATTATCATTATGTGCAGATTATTATATATTTTTTATTTTATTTATTTCATTTTTTTTATTTATTTGATTTTTATTTACATTTTTAATTTTTGTTGTTGCAATTCAGTTATTGTTATCTGCAGCCTTGTACTGTCCAAGTCCCAGCCACTGGGAAGGGAGACAGAACCTGTCCAATCCGGGACACCCGAACAACCAGGCAGTACTTCTGCTGGCTGATCATAGAGGCGGACAAAGACCAGCACCTCTCTGTCCGTCTCTATTATATAGGAAACAAGAAGCGATGAGCATACATCACTTTCCCAGATGGAAACGGCGCCATTTTTAAAAATGGAAAGAATTTGATAACACCAATCGAGGGCAGTAATTCTAGAACCAGGCTTCATGTGTAGATCTAAAGTGGTAACCTGTAAAAGCTTTTAAAGCATCACCTATGGAAAATGTATACCGTTTGTTCCCATTGCATGGGCGTGTGCAATTTTTAAAGCATGACATGTTTGGTATCTGTTTACTTGGCGTAACATCATCTTTTATATTTTACCCAAAAATGGGTCATGTATTGTGTTTTTTTTTGCATTAAAATTCCAAAAAGTGCATTTAAAAAAAAAATTGTGTTTGAAAAACTGCTGTGCAAATGCTGCGTGATCAAAAAAAATTGCAGAACCCACCAATTAATTCTTTCGGCCTCTGCTTTAAAAAAAAAATGTTTGGGAGTTCTAAGAAATTTTCTAACAAAAAATAAAAAACATTAAAAGTTTAAGTCGCCATACATCCCCTTTCATTTTAAAAGTCCTAGACATTCCTAAAAGCACCTCTTCCTAAAAAAATAAAATCAACCCTTTGTATTTTCCATTCTGAGAATGTTTTTTCTTTTTATCAGACAAGTAGATTGTATTGAGGGACAAGGAGATTTGGACCTTGATTAGGTCCCTTAGACAAGTATTTTTGTAAATATTTCCACACCCCTGCTTTTTATGAGGAGGTAAGCAAAAACTTAGACAAAGGAGTGGCTGTAGATACAGTATACTTGGATTTTAGCAAAATAGTTCCCTACACATGGCTAATTTGTAAGTTAAAGTCTACAGGCTTAGAAAATTAAGTTTGTAAATGGATAGAAAACTGGCTAAAAGATCATATTCAGAGAGTAGTGGTTAATGATTCATATTCGGAATGGTCTACGGTTATTAGTAGCATGTTCTTGCAATAGATGTATGAGTACTGTAAGGTATGTGGGTATGTACTGTATTTAGACTAGACAGACTGTATTTTACTTATAGATCCTAGAACTCTTCAGGAAATGAGATGCATTAGGAAATATACAGTATATGATCTTGTACAAACATTTTCCTCCTTTATGTTGTAATCATAATTTTACTCTCTCAAGCAAAGGGGTCTGGATATGTGTTTGGCCATCTGGATTTTAAAATTGTGGTGGAATCTGTAGATGCAACACCCTTCACTGTTGTCCTTTTGGCTCCTTCACGTCAAGAAAAAGCTGCTTGGACCAGTGACATTAGTCAGGTAAGAATTTTAATCATAGCAACATAAACCGTAAAAACATAAAAGGAACACTGATATTGAAATATAGTAGAATATGTCTACTAGGGTGCATTCAGTATGCCATAGGAACATTGGAATTGATTTCAGCACTGCAGGAACAGGGATTAGATGGCAGCTCTTGAAGAGTACTATACTGCATCTGAGCACCACAAACCAAAAACACTATTTAATTCATTTTTATTATTTGAAGCAAACTCACCCATCTATAGATGTCTCCATGCTTTTTTTGCAGAGAAATCACTTTGAAAAACAAACACACTATCAGTTTTGGCTGTGGCTATCTTAAGTAAGGGCTAAGCTCAGACATGCGGGCAGGAGGGTGTGCTTAGCAGAGAAACTTCCTCCTACCCTCCTGAAGACTCTTGGGATGTATGACATCATTTGCCTAGGCATGTAAATCAGGAAGTGACTTAAGAAATGTAAAAATAAAAAGTTTAAAACAAGTACATATAATATACTTTCCTATCTATTTGCTAATGCTAGCAGCGTAAGGATTAAAAATAGTCAGTGCTGACTGAGAGAGAAGTTCCACTTCAAGCAGACAGCAGAGACTAGAGTTATAGGCAGAGCAGTAGATTGGATTTGCTGACTGACTGCCAACAGGTGGTGTGGGGGCAAGCACAGCATGATCTAACCAGGAAGGCGACATGAAGAAGGAAAGGTGAGCAAGCTTGATGCTTGCAGACTGCAGGAGGTAAACATTCTTAGGAAGATTGTTCTACCTGTAGCCACCCTGCCTTAAAAGGATAAGTTCACCTTTTAACAAAAAATAATAAATACCCATTTTTTGCAGGTAAAAAAAAAATGTGCATTTATTATTTTTTGTTTGTGGAGCCCCTAAAGCATTGCACCAGAGATTAGTAGATCGCTGGTGCCATGCAGGTCTCCCCCTGACCTGCCAGTATATCTGCTTGCTTGTACAGCCCGTACGGACAAGCAGATACTGATAGGAAGGCTCAATGAACTATCATGGCGCTGTGGAGCACCATGGTAGTTTGTTGAAAACTACAAGCTGACAGCTGCAAAGGAAGTTTTCCCATTCACAGAATACTGTGAATGAGTGACGCGGCCGGGCGGAGTGGGATTAGCACATATTAATTGCACAGGTTCTGAGGCTAATTTAATGCAGATAAGGCGCTAGGTGAGTTCAATTACAGGAAATTGTTGTAGATTATTTTAGAGCCTGCTTATAATTCTTTTCTCAGGTTGAATATGCATTTCTAAGCCATTGTATATGTTTATGACACTGTAGTCACCATGCTTTCTATTTCTTGACAGTGTATTGAGAATATTAGATGCAATGGCTTGATGAGCAACGTTTTTGAGAGGAGAACTCTAAGGTCACAGTTCCACACATGATCAGGTAAAAGATGGTCAAATGATTCAGTGAAAATTGCTAGGGCTTTTTTTCATCATTTTTTTCCAGGTGCAAAAATTGATATATTAAACATACCGTGTTAAATAATATTATACACTTTTTTAAATATTAGAAACATAAAATAAAAGGAAAAGGGCCTGTACATACTGTATTTGGAAATGAGGCAGGGTTACCACATCAGTTACTTGTAACAGCAGCTAATATCACATACAGTATCCTCAATATCCCAACTGTCAACACTTTACATATTCTAATATGTGTGAGAGTTCTTTACTTTTTCTCATTAATATTGATGATTGGGTAGGGGTAGTATTTGAAACATTTCCCAAATCAAAAGATCCGCTCCATCACAAAATGCAGAAACCATATTCAAATATCATAACAGACAAAAGTTGACAATAAGTACATATCAGAAACATAACAAAATATTACAGCCCATAATGCTGAAAAGTATATAAACATATACAGTGGGGATCGAACGTTTGGGCACCCCAGCTAAAAAATTGTATTAATGTGCATAAAGAAGCCAAGGAAAGATGGAAAAATCTCCAAAAGGCATCAAATTACAGATTAGACATTCTTATAATATGTCAACAAAAGTTAGATTTTATTTCCATCATTTACACTTTCAAAATAACAGAAAACAAAAAAATGGCGTCTGCAAAAGTTTGGGCACCCTGCAGAATTTATAGCATGCACTGCCCCCTTTGCAAAGCTGAGACCTGCCAGTGTCATGGATTGTTCTCAATCATCGTCTGGGAAGACCAGATGATGTCAATCTCAAAGGTTTTAAATGCCCAGACTCATCTGACCTTGCCCCAAAAATCAGCACCATGGGTTCTTCTAAGCAGTTGTCTAGAAAACTGAAACTGAAAATAGTTGACGCTCACAAAGCTGGAGAAGGCTATATAAGAAGATAGCAAAGCGTTTTCAGATGTCAATATCCTCTGTTCGGAATGTAATTAAGAAATGGCAGTCATCAGGAACAGTGGAAGGTAAAGCAAGATCTGGAAGACCAAGAAAAATATCAGACAGAACAGCTCGCAGGATTGTGAGAAAAACAATTCAAAACCCACGTTTGACTGCACGATCCCTCCAGAAAGATCTGGCAGACACTGGAGTTGTGGTACACTATTCACTATAAAGAGATACTTCTACAAATATGGTCTTCATGGAAGAGTCATCAGAAGAAAACCTCTTCTACATCCTCACCACAAAAATCATTGTTTGAACTTTGCAAATGAACATATAGACAAGCCTGATGCATTTTGGAAACAAGTTCTGTGGACCGATGAGGTTAAAATTGAACTTTTTGGCCGATATGAGCAAAGGTACGTTTGGAGAAGAAAGGGCACAGAATTTAATGAAAAGAACCTCTGTCCAACTGTTAAGCATGGGGTTGGATCAATCATGCTTTGGGGTTGTGTTGCAGCCAGTGGCACAGGGAACATCTCACGAGTAGAAGGAAAAATGGATTCACTAAAATTTCAGCAAATTTTGGATGGTAACTTGATGCCATCTGTGAAAAAGCTGAAGTTAAAGAGAGGATGGCTTCTACAAATGGATAATGATCCTAAACACACCTCGAAATTCACGGGGGATTACACCAAGAGGCGTAAACTGAAGGTTTTGCCATGGCCTTCACAATCTCCTGACCTCAACATAATTGAAAATCTACGGATAGACCTTAAAAGAGCAGTGCGTGACAGACAGCCCAGAAATCTCAAAGAACTAGAAGACTTTTGTAAGGAAGAATGGGCAAAGATACCTCAAACAAGAATTGAAAGACTCTTGGCTGGCTACAAAAAGCGTTTACAAGCTGTGATACTTGCCAAAGGGGGCAGTACAAGATATTAACTCTGCAGGGTGCCCAAACTTTTGCAGACGCCATTTTTTTGTTTTCTGTTATTTTGAAAGTGTAAATGATGGAAATAAAATCTAACTTTTGTTGACATATTATAAGAATGTCTAATCTGTAATTTGATGCCTTTTGGAGATTTTTCCATCTTTCCTTGGCTTCTTTATGCACATTAATACAAATTTTTAGCTGGGGTGCCCAAACTTTCGATCCCCACTGTATATGATAATCATGTTTCCAACAGACAAAGCATCCTAGCCAAGCTTTAAGTCCCTTATTATATTGCTTTGAATGGAAGCTGGATGCTTTGTGTGATACATGATCTGATGCACATGTAAGTCATATATTTTTTTTATAATGTTGTGGATACGTGCAAAGCTCTTTTTCCGTAAATTTGTTCTGATAAGTATATGATTTTGCAAATAACTTTTTTAGAATTAGGTGTGGTAGGTTTAATATATCACTCATAGCACCTGAAAAGACCTAGAATTCTGTCCAAATGATGTTCTCATTATTAAATAGGGATATGGTGCAGTAACCAAACTTGCCTGTCCAACTGCATATTAGAATATGAATGCGCAGGACTATTTAGGTTACACAAATGACCTTTTGCCAAGTCCAGACATTTCATGTGGAGTGCTTTGGGATCTTAGTTTTATAACAAACCACCATACTAGTAAGGTCCAACACTCAATCCCATGGAAAACTTGTTTCCAGCTTGGAAGCGATGGTAGCCCATATGTAGGGAATAATTGTTTTAGATATATAGAACCCTTATTTTTATTATGAAAGTGCCAGCATATTACCTGGCATTATGGGGCTGGCCAGGGCATATAGTTGGTGAGGAGAATGTAAACAACAGAATGAACCAGTAAATATACATTTTGGAAGCAGATAGCTTCAGCGATTATTAAATGGTTTATTAATAAACAATATTTGTAGTGCTGTGTGTATCACAACCAGAAGACAGCACTAGAAAACTGTTAATAATAACCTCAATGCTGCATCCTGAGGAAGCAGACCAAGTCTGTGGGACGCATTGAGACTGGAGGCCATACAGCTATTGGCCATGATTGTGCTATACATAAGATGACATTGTATTAATGATAAAAGTTTTGGATGTGTATCTACCAAGGGCATGTCATGAGGAACAGTGTTTATAGTGCAAAGACAAAAAAAAAAAATCAAACTGTATCTTTTTAATGTTTTTGTGTGAAATTTTAGATATTAATAACAATAAAAAAAAATGTGTGTTTTTATTTATGCATTCTTCCTTGACTTTTCAATTGTTTATCTGCATAGAATTCTGTAATTGAAATGAATCGTCACACAATTTATTATGTGGATTTTCTCAGCTGCTGTAGTAAATCAGCCCAAAAGTATTTTAGATGGCTTTGTAATAAATGAGCTAACTGAAAATGTTACCGTAAAAGCTTCCTATAGTCTATTATTTGTGGATTAAGCTGGTCATTTATGGGATGAAGGTACAGGCCACAAACTGAAAGGAGATTAAAGTGGTATTATTAAACAAAAATCTATTGTTTTGTAGCTTGTCAATTCTTACCTTTGGTGGCTGCATTATCTTTGTTTTTTAGGCTCTTTTCCTTTATTTTCACCAAGTGTCCTGGCCAGTAAGTAGGCAATGTTTCAACTTCCTTTAATAGATCAAACTCTCCAGCTTAAGTGGAAGTTAGAGGGTTGAGATAAGCCAATTGACAGGAGTGCTTACTATGGTCAGCTTTTATTCATATTTGTAAAACCTTTATCCCAAAAGAAAAAAAATACTTTTTTTTTTTTTTTTGCTATAACTGCTTTAAACGTGTTAGCGGGACTTTGGCTTTAATTTGTTAGTCAAGTCCATTTAAATCTGCTAGTGGATCTAGCAGTACCTTCTCCCCAGATTGACAATGCTGGTGTCCAAACGTATCTCCATTGTTCCTTCATCTCGAGTGGAGACACCCTAAGATAGGAAGTGTGTTATTAGCCAGTGAAAAAAAGGAAAAAAAAGAAATACTACTACATACTTTGTGTTTCTCCACTCATTACATGTAAGCAAGTTAGTTGATCATCATTGGACTACAAAAGCCATTTACTATTGCCCTTCTGTAGTAAAGACAAATAATACCACAACACTTAAGGCAAAAGAAAATGCAAGAGAAATGCTGTGGGAATTATAATATTATTATATATTAATAAAAGCGAATAGGATCGAAAAGAGGATGATTATAGACACAATGAGTAGTCAGGCTAGGGTCAGAGTGGGAGTCTCTGTCTTGCTGGGTTGACCACCTAGTCACCACCTTGCCCCTGAAAGGTATTCTTGGTTCTTGAACTCTCCTGAAGGCCTCCATCTTGTTATTTTCTTGTTATTAGTATCACAGTTAATTTTCCATTGATCCAGAAGACTTTAGCTTTCACCAAATCAAGTGGAATAGGTGGTGCATTCCAAGATCTGGCTATGGAAATTCTAACTGCTATAAATATAAAGGATATTAGCCTCCTGGATCATCTAGGAATCTCCCCACTATACCGGTTTAGCAATGTTTTGAATGGAGACATGCTAAAATTTAGCTGGGTAAGAGAACATATAAAACATTTACATTCTAATTCAGGTTTAGCATATTTATATGCTCTAATCCAGAATTGCATGACTTTTGGGCAAGACCACCATAAATGGTGTCCTGTGCCTTCTTGTCCACTTCTCTCGGAAGCTTTTGAGTAAAGGAGGTTAATCTGGATGGAACCATCTTAACAACCTTAAATTTTCCTTAAATAATTGATGTATTTATAAATGTTATAGATGTCCTAGCTGCTAGTTTATGCCATTCCGCCAATTCCATTTCCTCTGCCAGTCCTGTTCCCATTTTTCCATATAAGGCAATTCACATAATATACATTGTGGGGTTGTGTCCTTAGCCACCACATTTAAATATTGGCAAGTTGAAATATGTTACTAAACCCAGCACAAGTGTTATTAAACCCAGGACCCTGCATTTACTATATATGGTCTCCAACAGTACACAGAACATATGCAATTATTTTAGTAAATATAACTGATAACTACATTTTCTCATCAGCAGTTAGAGCAGTCTTGTGACTTCTATCAGTGTTCAGCAAAGCACTGGTTAAAGCTGGTAGGAGGAGTTTTCTTTAGGAGGATGTAGTACCCCTGACCTCTGTCTGGGCAGTGCTGATTGGCCTTGTGTTGATCACATGTACTCTCGCAAGGAAAAAAAAACCCTTTCTAGCTGTACACACCAAACTGAGCATGTGCAGTGTCTCCACGAGATATGTCTTATCAGGAGATAAGAGGGAGACACTGGAAGAAAGGGAGGATCAGAGAAGTCAGGATTAAACATCATTTTTAAATAATGCAGAGGATTAACCCCTTAGGTTCCACAGTGAGCATAACAAGTATGCTTTACTGCATATACAGGCGGACTTTACTGTTGTGGGTTTAGTAACACTTAAAATGGGGGGGGGGGGTGTTTAATACCACTTTAAGTGGATAAAAAAAGAACAATAAATCCTTTTTTTATCCCTACTAAACACAGATAGATACAAATTTTAACTTCAGTAGGTGTATTACAGATTAACTTTTGAAAGCCATCATTTTATAATATAAATCTGTCCAGCTGAGACAAGCTTCTTGTTTATGAATGTTTTAGATCGGACGCAAGACTGCATAAAGATGATGTGGATATCTGTTTTAGTAAAACCCTGAACTCCTGCAAGGTCCCTCAGATCCGTTATGCCAGTGTGGAACGTCTCCTGGAGAGGTTGACTGACTTGCGCTTCCTCAGCATCGATTTCCTCAACACCTTCCTGCATACCTACAGGATATTTACCACGGCCTTTGTAGTGCTGGAAAAGCTGGCTGATATATACAAGAGACCTTTCACATCAATTCCCGTCAGGTATGTACAATACAGCCCAGTGTTGTGTATGTTTACTTTGCTAGTATAATTACTGTAAGGTTTATGCCACTTGAGAGATGTAAGGGTGCTGTCATCACATCTGAAAATGTAGGTTGTCTAGCTCTCATACTGATGCAATAGCTTCAGTACTAACCTACAAAATGTATGCAGGAAAGTCTAAGGTCATTATTTGCATTCTTGTTCCAGGTTAAATGATGCTAGGGATCTCAAACAAGTAGCTTAACATGAATGCCAGGGAGGTCTTAGTCTTAAATTGTCAAACATTTCATATGTCTGGGATTACATGAAAGACTACATACAATACATACTTATAAACAATGTAATTGTCTCTGTGACAGCAGGAACCCTACATGGTGATAATCTGGGTGAAAAGGACAGTCATTCCATATACAGTGGGTTTTAAAGTGGATTTCCAGCCATTTTTGTGTTTTATTAAAAGTCAGCAGCTACAAAAACTGTAGCTTCTGACTTTTAATAAACACACACACATACCTGTCCCAGAGTCCAGCGATGTTCTCACCCACGCAGTCCTTTCTCCCCTTCTCTCCTCCAAAGCGCCGGCATGTAAACTTTGGGTACCAGGCTGTGACAGCTTGCGGCTTCACAGCCGGGTGCCCACTGCGCATGCACAAGTCGCGATAGGACTCCTAATTGGTCCGGCAGTCTCCTGGGACCTGTGAAAGTTCCCAGGAGATTGTGGGAGGGAGGAGGGAGCCGAATTTCCAGCTTAGTTTACCACGGCGAACTGAGCGAGAAGTGGGAGCGGGTACCTGTCATAAACAGGTATCCGCTCCCCCCAAAAGGTGCCAAATATGGCAGTGGAGGGGGCGAGGAGGTTAATAAGTGGAGCTTCTGATTTTGAGTGGAACTCTGCTTTAAGGCTGGGAAAATACATGTGACAATTTATAGACTTCCTATTATTCACAAATAACTTTGCTGTGCTTTGTACCAGAATCATCATTTTAGTATAATTTTAAACAGAACAAATAGAATGTATACTTTTTCATTTATATTAAAATAACTTTATGAAAACTAATGCTGGTCAAAGCAAATTGCATTTATATTACTAATATCTATTTGTTCTTAGACTACATAGAAGTTTAAACATTTTTTGCAATATTGCCAAAAGAAAGCCTAGTTTATCCCTCAAAAACAATGGGAGTTATTTACTAAGGCTGGAAAGTGCAAAGTCTGGTGCAGCTCTGCACGGAAACCAATCAGCTTCCAGGTTTTTTGTCAAAGTTTAGTTGAACAAGCTGAAGTTAGAAGCTGATTGGCTACCATGCACAGCTGCACCAGATTTTAACTTTCAGGTTTTGGTGGTGAATTTCAGACAATTCCTATAACACTACCCTACTCATACTTTAAATGCTTGAAATTTGTAGCTGTAACATCTAGCTGGGGACATAAACCTGTACGGTTTCCACACATTGACCAGAACTAAATTGAAGTGTGGTTTAGGCTTACCAGACTTTATCCTATATCACAAATCAGCATTGTTCACCCACTCATTGAATTGGCTTTATGTGGAAGATTACAACATTGAAGTAGTCTTAAAGAAACATATTGCACCTTTCCTCTGAAATATTGCCATGGCTTCAGCCGACCCATAGACCCTAGCCAGCACTCTTACCTTCTTATCCTCTCCTTTTCTAAGACACTGGAATCACAGATGTCCACTCCAGATCTCTTCACAAGTCCTGACCTTCATTATGTCTTTAGAGTACAGTTTCCTCTAGGCATGACCTCTACTGAGGTTGTAATTTTTGCATACTGTACTGTCTGGATGTTCAGATGTGACATATTTTAAACCCATTCCAACACACTCCCAAACTAATATAAGAGATTGGTACCAAGTTAGTCAATTATCAGGATTTGAAATCCATGCAATTCAAAGCTTCCTTTCACTGACCGCTTAGTTAGTTCGAGCAACTCTGCTTGATTAAGAGGGGAGATAATAGGATGCTCTCTTCAGAGGGGGCGTTCTAATTATGAATAAGTTGGAGAGGGACATTGGGAGAGGCTTCTCAGAGAAGGAATGGTCTAAAGTGTTCATAAGGGCTGTGAAAATGTGTAATAGACTCCCTCAAGAGTTGGTTCTGGCCAGCTCAGAGGATTGCTTTAAAAAAGGCCTGGATTATTTCTTAGATACACAGAATATAACTGGATACTAACATTTACAGGTAAAGTTGATCCAGGGAATATCCGATTGTCTCTCGGGGGATCAGGAAGGATTGTTTTTCCCTGCAGGAGCAAATTGTGTCATGCTTTGCTTGCTTGGTTTTTTGCCTTCTTCTGGATCAACTGTGGGTATAGGATTATAACTTTTTTTTTCTATTGTTTATAGTACAATTTAAAATGTAATAACCAATTGTTTACACTAAAGTACGGACACCAAATAAACAGGCCCATAGTGGAGGTGGGGGATATAAAAGTATGAGACCTAAGGTAGTTATGGTTCCTGAGCGGCTATTATATGGTCACTGTGGGGTTGATTTCCTAAAACTGTAGAGTGCAAAGTCTGGTGCAGCTGTGTATAATAGTCAATCAGCTTCTAAGTTTAGCTGATTGATTTCTATGCAGAGCTGCACCAAATTTTGCACTCCCCAGTTTTAGTAAATTAGCCCCTGTGTTTAGATATTTGATATTTTTTCCAACAATGTCCAGTCAACTCTGGCCTCTGGCTTGACAATATTGACATATATTTGAGTTTGAGCAAAATGTGCAGAGTATTTCTTTAGGGTGAACTGCTACTAAAATGTTGGCAATAATTGAATCACTGAATGGCACTAAAAACACATTGATAGGTTAATGGGCTAACATCTAAATTGGCTCTTGTGTTTGTGACTTTGTTACGGAAATTAAATTAAAGGTAAATAAACCTCTGTGAGGCTCATTTGGATAGATATGAATGATCGTATGTATTCTGTACATTGCTGTGAATTATGTTATGCCATATAGATATAATAAATAAATACTATGGACTTTAGAACCACAGGTGGCTCTCCTACCACTGGCTGGTGAATAGTGCTTTGTACAATACTGCAATATATGGAAAATATATTGGCAAATTTATTTAATAATTTCCTCTCACCACTACTTTTCTAGATCTCTAGAACTCTTTTTTGCTTCCAGTCAAAGCCTGGATGGGAAGTCACCACACCTTTGTCGCAAGTTTTCCTCTCCGCCACCCTTATCTCTTTCCAGGACATCATCACCTGTCAGAGCCAGGAAGCTGTCCCTGAACTCTCCACTAAACTCTAGGATTGGAGCCTTGGACTTATCTACATCATCCAGCGCTAGCAGTCCAACTTCAATATTTAGTCCAGCCACTTCCCCACCTCCCAGCACTAATAAAGTACCTCTAGACCTCAGCAAAGGACTCTCTTCACCAGAGCAAAGTCCAGGTGCAGTTGATGAGAATTCAGAAAATCCTCGCATTGATCTGTGTAACAAGCTACGAAGGAGTATCCGTCGAGGTAATGATACAACTTCACACTTACATTCCCTTTAAGAACATTATCTTCTAGAAATATGATTCCTGCTCTTCATTTTCTCTGTGAATTTTAATTAGCTGAAATTTATGACTGTTCATTTTGCTGTTCTTCTGGCTCCACCCACTTTCTCAAACTTGCTGCCCTAGGCAAGACTAAAATCGGGCACCTCCCCCCCGCATCTAAATTTATCCCACCCCTTCCTGTTTAAGATCCACCCCTTCATCTGTAAACCCCACCCTTCCTATGTAGGCTCCACCCCTCCCTATTAGAGCTCTGCCCACTGACAATGATGGGGCACTATTCCTCCCACTGACACCAACAATGGGGCTCTATTCCTCCCACTGACATCAATGTTGGGGTACTATTACTTCCACACTGACACCAGTGATGGGGCACTATTCCTCCCACACTGACACCAATGATGGGGCATTATTCCTCCCACTGACACCAATGATGGGGTACTATTACTTCCACACTGACACTAGTGATGGGGCACTATTCCTCCCACACTGACACCAATGATGGGGCACTATTCCTCTCACTGACACCAATGATGGGGTACTATTACTTCCACACTGACACCAGTGATGGGGCACTATTCCTCCCACACTGACACCAATGATGGGGCACTATTCCTCCCACACTGACACCAATGATGGGGCACTATTCCTCCCACTGACACCAATGATAGGGTACTATTACTTCCACACTGACACCAGTGATGGGGCACTATTCCTCCCACACTGACACCAATGATGGGGCACTATTCCTCCCACTAACACCAATGATGGTACTATTACTTCCACACTGACACCAGTGATGGGGCACTATTCCTCCCACACTGACACCAATGATGGAGCACTGTTCCTCCCACACTGACACCAATGATGGAGCACTGTTCCTTCCACACTGACACCAATGATGAGGCACTATTCCTCCCACACTGACACCAATGATGAGGCACTATACCTCCCACACTGACACCAATGAAGGGGCACTATTCCTCCCACTGACACCAATGATGGGGTACTATTACTTCCACACTGACACCAGTGATGGGGCACTATTCCTCCCACACTGACACCAATGATGGAGCACTGTTCCTCCCACACTGACACCAATGATGGAGCACTGTTCCTTCCACACTGACACCAATGATGAGGCACTATTCCTCCCACACTGACACCAATGATGAGGCACTATACCTCCCACACTGACACCAATGATGGGGCACTATTCCTCCCACACTGGCACTAATGATGGGGCACTATTCCTCCCACACTGGCACTAATGATGGGGCACTATTCCTCCCACACTGGCACCAATGTTGGGGCACTTCCTCCCACTGACACCAATCAGAGAGAGAGAGGAGGGAGGTAGGGAGAGAGGAGGGAGATAGAGAGGGGGGAGAGGAGAGAGAGAAGGGGGGAGGGGGGGAGAGAGGGGGGGAGAGGAGAGAGGGAGAAGAGAGAGAGAGAGGGGGGGGAAGAATACACAAGGCTGGCTGGAAGTGTGGGCGGGGCAGACACAGGAGGAGAGGGCGGGAGGAGCAGGGACAGCTTTCTCTCTCCTCTCCCGTCTATGTGAGGGGAGGGGGGGGAAACTGTCAGCACTGGGGACTGCATATGCTGACAGATCCCCTGCAGTGCTGGAGGGGGGGCAGCCGTGGGGGAGCATACAGGAGCTGACCGTATGCAGGAGATGGATAGGGGAGGTGACTGGCGGCACATAGAGCATAGAGAGAAATGCATGGTCCTCTATGTGCCATCCGGCCCCCTCTCCAGCCGGCTCCATAACTGACAGGTTCTCTGTCTCCTCGCCGCTGAGCACACACACGAACCCGCCCGAGCACGCCCCCCTGGCCAAGCACAGCCCTTTGCAGCGACAGCACTGATCCCTTTTGCCTGGGGGTGGTGCTGCCCTCCTGAAAAGTGCTGCCCAAGGCACATGCCTTGCTTGCCTTGCAGCAGATACGCCCCTGACCATTATATTATGTTTGGACATGGTAAGTGTATTCCACATGCTGAAATTACTAGTGCACAAGAAACATATATTTCAGGAGTGGGCTGACTTAAAATACAAAAGAACATAGTTTCAGGTACATTTAAAGTTTGTGCAAGTAAAATTCTGGAAACTATGTAACTCTAAGATTACAATCCCAGTGCATTCTTTATTCATTCTCCGCTTCTTTTGACACGGTTGACCATCCCCTCCTCCTCAAAAAACTACACTCTCTTGGTCTCAGCAACTCCGCTCTCTCCTGGTTCTCCTCCTATCAATCGCAGCGCTCCTTCAGTGTTAAAACCAAAAATAGTGAAGCGCTAAAATAAATCCCTAAATACACACACGGTGCATATAATATTAAGTGAAAACCATACCTCATAAATAAATTATATCCGTGACATAAAAAATATCAATATAAAACAAAATAAAATATATAAGGAAAAACTTTTCCTTGCCCTTAAATTAATTCTTCAAATCAAACATTAAAAAATAAAAAATCCATGATATTGCAAATAAACAGTGATGAAAAAAATTATATATATAAAAAAACTGTGTTAATTACCATATATAAATATATTTGTGATTATTTCTAATAATAAATGTGACAACCTAACAGAATAAAAAATATAAAAAAATGTGAATCTCAATCAAATATACGTGATTATTGTGAAAAAAAACCATAGATTAAACTATTACATAAAAAAATCACTAGAACTTGTGATATTTCAAATATGAAAAAGTGTCCATAAATGAACAAACACAGTCCATGCAGTAAGGTGAAAACGACACTCAGTGTTCTTCATTTCTAGTGCTCATAAAAAAGAAAGGGAAGAAATCCTCCAATGGCAGCAATGCCTGCTCACCTCCCCAACTCGACCCGCAAAGGGCCACAAGGCTATAACTCTCCTCCAGGAAATCGTTTGCTTCCAAGCAGCTCAGTAAGGAATCACAGGACCTCCTCTCCACCTCCTCTCAAACGTCATATAGGACACAAACAGAGCTTCCCATAGTGTAATACCATTTGTTTATTCAAGACACTCCATATAACAAACTGTTTCCACTCACATGCGTTTGGTTAGAAAAATGCAGTCCTCCTCATTCCCTGGGTGCATTCACATGTAAAGAGGGAAACCAATATGGTCGCTGTGCTCGGACATCCGTCCCCACGTGACCGGAAATGATGTGTCTCTGGGCTGGGAAAAGCGTGCCGACGCGTTGCGTCACGTGCGTCGTGACTTCAGGTACCCTGATGAAGTCACGACGCACGTGACGCAACGCGTCGGCACGCTTTTCCCAGCCCAGAGACACATCATTTCCGGTCACGTGGGGGGACGGATGTCCGAGCACAGCGACCATATTGGTTTCCCTCTTTACATGTGAATGCACCCAGGGAATGAGGAGGACTGCATTTTTCTAACCAAACGCATGTGAGTGGAAACAGTTTGTTATATGGAGTGTCTTGAATAAACAAATGGTATTACACTATGGGAAGCTCTGTTTGTGTCCTATATGACGTTTGAGAGGAGGTGGAGAGGAGGTCCTGTGATTCCTTACTGAGCTGCTTGGAAGCAAACGATTTCCTGGAGGAGAGTTATAGCCTTGTGGCCCTTTGCGGGTCGAGTTGGGGAGGTGAGCAGGCATTGCTGCCATTGGAGGATTTCTTCCCTTTCTTTTTTATGAGCACTAGAAGTGAAGAACACTGAGTGTCGTTTTCACCTTACTGCATGGACTGTGTTTGTTCATTTATGGACACTTTTTCATATTTGAAATATCACAAGTTCTAGTGATTTTTTTATGTAATAGTTTAATCTATGGTTTTTTTCACAATAATCACGTATATTTGATTGAGATTCACATTTTTTTATATTTTTTATTCTGTTAGGTTGTCACATTTATTATTAGAAATAATCACAAATATATTTATATATGGTAATTAACACAGTTTTTTATATATATAATTTTTTTCATCACTTTATTTGCAATATCATGGATTTTTTATTTTTTAATGTTTGATTTGAAGAATTAATTTAAGGGCAAGGAAAAGTTTTTCCTTATATATTTTATTTTGTTTTATATTGATATTTTTTATGTCACGGATATAATTTATTTATGAGGTATGGTTTTCACTTAATATTATATGCACCGTGTGTGTATTTAGGGATTTATTTTAGCGCTTCACTATTTTTGGTTTTGATACTTTATTACCTATTGGTTAAGGCAGAGTGTTAGCAGCTGTTAGGATAGGGACTTACCCATACTAAGCGCAGGAGGATATTCCCATTTATTTGCTCCTTCATGTTAGTGTTGCCTATACGCTGCCACCTCCTCCACACTCCATCTCTCTGTAGGAGTCCCTCAAGGTTCTGTCCTTGGACCCCTTCTCTTCTCCATCTACACCTCCTCCCTTGGTCACTTGATAAACTCCCACGGCTTCAATTACCATCTCTATGCTGATGACACACAAATCTGTCTACCCCTCACCTCACCCCTTCAGTTTCCACCCGCATCGCTAGCCTTATTAAGCGACATATCGGCTTGGATGTCACTCCACTTCCTCAAACTCAACCTTTCCAAAACTGAGCTCCTAGTATTCCTCCCTGCCCGCGCCACCCCCACTGACTTCTCCATAAATATCGCTAACACCATCCTCAGTCCATCCCCTCATGCCAGGGTACTAGGTGTAATCCTAGTCTCCCATCTGTCCTTCCAGCCCCAGATCCAATCGCTGACAATCATGTAGACTTCACCTCCGCAACATCTCCAAGATACGACCGTTCCTAACCCCGAAACCACTAAGCAACTTATTCACTCCCTTGTTATATCTCGCCTCGACTACTGTAACTCCCTCCTCATTAGCCTACCTCATCGCAGGCTATCCCCT